CCTCTCTCGGGAGGAGAAGGGGGGAGTTTTCGCGTTCCTGTTACGTTACTCGTCGACATACTTTTTCCCCCCCCTTTCCCACCTCCCTTCACCCAAAAATTATACACACGCTTCTATACGCGCGATCGAGTTTCACAACGCGACGCATCGACGAATCCAACGATAATATTTACTTCCGCACCGAGGATCGAATCGCGTTTACTAAAATCTTTCTCCTATACTTTCTCTTCGCATACTTTGGAAAAATCATTCGTACGGATTACCTTCGCGAAATCGACGGAAACTCTTTCTACGATCGATCGCTTTCCCTCATCGTCCCTCTCCATTGGGATCTCTCTCTCTCTCTCTGTTCGATTCCCTCGTTCCAAGCCCGCTTCCGTCTCATCGATATTACCTCGCCTCCTCGAGTTTCCAAATTTCCTTCCCTCGCATGCAGCGTCGTCAACGTATTCTCTACGTTGTACGTAAATGTCAAACATACGCGTTGACATTTATCGTCATCCCTCCTGGAAAATATATAGCTGTAGATTTGTTATAGAATACATCGCGAGATTATTAACCGATATATACCGATACCAATATAAATACCGATAAAAGATATAGGAGATCGAGGAAGAAAGACGAGTAAGTTTAATCTTAAATATATATGTATATATATTTCTCGTATAATTATTTACTTAATATAATAGCGTAATGTACATGCGATATATTCTGTGTGAAAGTCTAGCTTATATACATATGTGAATAACACTTGGTGCAATTTTTTCTTTAAACTTTCCATCTTTATTTAATAACATTCGTCTTTGGTATATATATATATATATATATATATATATATATACCTTATATATATATATATAAGAATCGTGTAATCTTTGTTATACATATTTTTCTTTCTTTTTTTTTAACCGTAATATACTAAAAAAATAACACAAGTGAATTAGTACATTTTGGAATGTTTTCGATGTAAAAAAACATTATATAGGTATCTTCGTACTATATCTCGCGTTAACAAAAAGAAGCAATCTACGCTATTACACTTTCTTAACCGCTATACGTTTATTATTTAGGTATTATAAAAAAATATTTATTTTAACATTTATACAATATCTTTCAATTACAATTGTATAAGTCTAAAATATTTAGGAAGATCATATATATATATATATATAAATACATAGGTTTGATATTTCGTTACTTGTATTTTATATATATGCGATTAGAAAAATTCTCTTACTTTTATTACGAACGTACATATATAGATTTCATATATTCTTCTTTATTTACAACTTAACGATCGTCGTTAAAAAAATATCGATGATATATGCATCACGATCACCATTGTCTAAAAATTTTTCATCACCTTTTAACAAGAATAGCGAGAACAATTTCGATTTATTATTACCACTCACATTTTGTTCAAAGTCTCAAGCATTTCCATATTCGCATTTCGATACGATTCTACCACGATTGGAAGAAAAAAAATAAGAAAGAATTTGCAGACGTACGTTTCCAAAAGATTTTTCATTATTCTGGGAAAAAGTAAGATTCTGGTCAGCCACCCATTTCTGTTGAAACGGGAGGATCCATTCGTTGTTCGGGATATAATAGAGATAGAGAGGATAAAAAAAGACAAAACTATCGGTATTTACAAGATGAAACGATTGGACGATTTAAACGTAGAACAGGTGATACGAAGATGCGGATCTACGCAATAGTTGATTTATAGGTTGTATCGAGTCACGTATCCAAGGCCGCTGGCAAAGCTCGAAGCGAGTGCGAGGGCGTTACTCGCGTATGACGCGTGCAATTTCTCGTGAAATTATTCCACGCACGCCAACGGCAGTCGGTGATATATGGACAGCCGCATAAAAGACACGTCCCTCCTACACGCGTGACCCATGACCGAACCCGAATATTGAATCACTTTAATATCTCGGAACGAGACACGAGACGAGTCACGGCCCGCGTCCACCTTCTCTCCCCTCTCCACCTTCGACCACGTGCAATACCTACCTACATAAAACGTCCATTCTTTAGTTTTTAAATAATCTCTTTTCAAATTTTCCTCTTTTTCTCTTTTTCTTCCCCTCATCTAAACGCTTCCTCACCTGTAAGAATTTACACGCGTCGCGCGTCCTCCACGTCGAAATCGAAAAACGATTATTTAGCCCGATCATTCGATCCGAGAGAAATTATTAAGCTTACGAGTACGAGGTCGAATCGCGATAGCGATGGCCCAGAGATCCGATCCCACCACCACCGATACTTCCAAAATCTTATCTTAATTTTTCGTTCGTTCTAATTAGAGTTTTCGTTAACTGGTTGCTAAACTTGACTAGATTAAGAATTCGAGATGACACAAATAAAGTGGTTCGAGAACGTAAATAGGAGAAAAAAGGAGTACAAATACGGATGGAGCGTAGTGATACAAGATTCTCGATGAGAATCCTACTACTCGTACGTAGTAGAGGATAATTCATCGCTAATTCGAATTATCGTTTCGAGTATGCTTCGAGCGAGCCCAGCGCAATAACCTCGATCGCGCTCGACGAAAACTTGGTCTCCGTTTCTACAAAGATTCTATAAAAAAATAATTTAGACACGCGATGAAAAAGTTAGGAACCATTTTACGCGAATTGCCATGTAGCGCAAATTGATCGCTTAGAGTCAAACTTTTAGATTATCAAAGCTAATTTTAATTTTAATTTTATACACGTATATATGTATATATATATATACTATATAGATATCTCGTTTAACGAATTATATATACGTTTCTAAAATCATAGGCTGTAGTAATACGGTTACTACGAGTCTCGATGATTATCGACGTAGAAACGAATATTTGTAGAAAATTTGTACATTTTACGATGCTGATCCAATCTTTTTTTTTTTCTTTTTTTTCTTTTCTTTTCTTTTTTTTTTTTTTTTTTTTTTACGGAAACGAATGCCAGGTTGTAATAAGCCTTTTATCTTTACCCTTTCCTTTTCGTATGATAGCAATTCATTTATTTATACGTACTTATACTTTTAAGTTTTGATTAAAATCGTACAGCAAACGTATACAAGAAAAAAATGAAATATTTCGTACGAATACGTTACATAATAAAAATACGCAATATCTTTCGAAAACGATCGATTTCATAAATAAAAAATATAAAAAATTATCTTACCCTTTGATAACGGTTATTGAACAATCCGATTCGAGAAGATTAAATTAAACGTTTAAATTAATAAATTGGTAAATGTATTAAGCGCTTAATTAAATATTTCTGGTAACATCGAGATTTTTCGAAATATAAAAGTTGCCAAACTTAGATTTAAACTCTTTATGCTCGTTTTATAATTTTTCGAAATCGAAAACTAAATACGTACATACATGTAGTAGCGTCGATCAATATCGATTATCGTTTCGAATCTTAAATCTCTAAAATGTACGAAAGAGCATTAAAAATTTTTTTTTTTTTTTTCTTTAAACGATCAGTTACAAAGATGCAAAACTAATCAACGTTATATAATTATACGTATTATATTTACACCGACGTAACGTAATTTTTAACGTAATTTTAAGAAAAGATATCAAGAGATAATATCCCTCTTATAATATTTACTCGATCGAATAAATATCGATCGAAATTGTAAATATATATATATACGCTTCTTTCGTCTTAAAAAAACGAATAAACGTTCATCGAATCGCTGTTCATTTTTTAAAGCAATTACGTTAGAGAGCTGGAAATTAAAATTAAAATACTGAATACAAAATTTTCGCAACGGAAAATAAAGTTTAAATACTCGATCGCACTTTTTATCGCACTTTAACAAGATCTGCAAAAAAATGTTTCGATTTCGATGTATTTCGCGTTATTTACCTTCGATACTTAATTACGCACAAACGTCATTTTAAATAATAATTTTTGGATGAAAGAATTAATCTTTGCGCGTCTTTCTCTTCGAAAGATTACGAAATTTCTTTTTTAAATTAATCGCTGAAAGGAATAATCGCTTTATAATTTTTTCCTTTACATCGATCTCGAAATTAATCTCGTTTTTCAAATAAAAAAGAAAAAAAATTTCTCAACGATCGCTATCGATCAAAACGAAACGTTGGAGAGACAAAGAGAGAGAGGAAAAAAAAGAAAAATGGCAATAATATGTGGAATGACTTGCGAAGAAATTACAATTGCTACGTTAAATATAGAATGAAAATAAATGTTTACAGCACAGTATTTACATAAATAAAACTGTATGAAAAGAATTTTCAAGTAAATATACTTGAAACAAGAGTTGTACATACACAGATAAACATACATAGATTATCTATCGATAAAATAAATATCAAATTGAATATATACTATACCTGAATATATTATAATCTTTTACCTGCCCGGTAGTAATTATCGACAAGCAAAAAAGTAAATGTATAGTTAAAACGAAGAGTTTTTATCAGTCGATCGATTAAGAGAAATTAAAAGGATTCAATAATTAAAGATTCGTTATATTTTACTTACAAAATGTATAATCAACGAACCATCATCATTATATATATGTGTATATATATATATACACACATATGTATAAGGCTAACTGGCCGATTGGTTTATTTTCACTCTAAAACTAGGAAACAGAGTTCGAACCAAGACAATTCTCGAAGCAAGATTAACAATGGTATACTCGTAATCTCTCGTGGTCGAAGTTAAGTACTAAATCGTAATCTTGTGAACGTGAAATTAAAATTAAAAAAAAAAGGGGAATAACGTGGTAATGGATTGGATCGTAATAAGATTATCGACAAAGTGCATTTATTTTCATTAATGACGAACGTTATCTTCAAAATAGCGTGTCGAGGAACATGTGTCGTAGGAGGGAAAAAAGGGGGGAGGGATGGGCATCGATCGTTACTATACAAATATTTTCACATTTTCGCAGAATGTCTCGTCGTCGTGATATCTTTTCCTTCTTCTTCTTCTTCTTCTTCTTCTTCTTCTTTTTTTGTATTTTTTTTTTTTTGTTACATTTTTTTTATTTCGACGTTTCTCCCCCGATCGCCCGGAAGTCGGAAAAATCGTCCATAATCGTAGGAATTGGTTCCGTTGTTCTCATTTCATCGCGACTCGTGGGTTTCCCTGCCACGAGAGAACGGCGAGGGGAACGAAACTGACGAATAAAACTCGGCGAGAGAAGGACGCGAGATGTTGTTGTGTTCGCACGCGTTTAAGTAAATAATCACGCTTCCTAAATGGCACGTCGTCACTTGGTCTGATTGTATCTTCCTTTGGTCGACCGCCTGTTCGATTGGCTCGAGACGGCGAGTAAATTCTCCTCGAACGTATCTACCGTGAAATCCTGCTCTTTGATCAATTTAGGCAATATCCTACTCGTCTGGCTGTTCTGCCTCATTAAATCGACAGGGTTTCTAGCCGAGGTGAGAATGCCGTTTCGAAGATGGGATTTTCTCTTTTGCGGTTGCAATCGTTTAAAGAGGATTGGTCTTGTCGGGGCGGATTGCGGGGGAGGAGGCGGAGGCATTTTTGGCGGTGGTAACCGAGCGGATGGAGCGTGGGGTAAGATACCGGCGGGCGTTCTGGACGGACAGGGTGGTGGTGGTGGTGGTGGTGGTGGTGGTGGTGGTGGTGGTGGTGGCGGAAAACCTGGAATAGGGAATCCTGGTCTAGGTGGCGGTGGACGCATGGCTGGTCGCGGTGGTGGTCCGTACCTGAACGGCCTCGGCCCGTACATAGGTGGAGGAACTGGTGGCGGTGGTACCGGTGGCATGCCGGGCGGAGGTGGCATAGGACGGAAACCTGGCGGAGGGCCGGCATAACCGAAATGCGCCGGTGAAAATGGACCGTCTTTCGCGAAACCGCGTCTCGTAGCTCCGAAGCCTGGCGGTCCCATCGTGTACGGGTTGCTCCCTGGATACTTGAACGAAACGCGCATCGCTCTTCTACTCGGCGCCTCCGATCCTGATGTTCCCCTCGAATTCACGCTGATTTTACTCGTGTCGATTTTCTCGCGCGGTACTTTCTGCAACGCGTTTATATAGATTTTACGATCGATGGGATATCCACGGGCCGTTTCGAACGCTGAAACAAACACCACAAGTGTATACGCCAATTCTTCCCAAATCGTCCACCCCACCCTCTCGTCTCGCGATCCCAAAACGCGACCACCCCTCCCCATTCCGTTACTCGTTTCTCTTCTCTTTACCTTTCGATCGCCAACGATCGTCCACCTACCTTTTAAACAATTCTCCAGTTCCCAACCTAATTGCTGTACGAGATACCTGTAACGAGATACACCAATTTACGTATTTCCTCGATCGGACGAATTCTTTTTATCCGTCCCGAAACACCACTTTTTACGACGTTTCGTTAACGTTTCTATTCGTATCGTCTACAATACATGTATATATCTTGTACGTATACCATATCCGAACCATACTAACCTACAAATTAGGTATCCGGAACGATTTACACCGTGAGTGCAATGAACCCCTACAATGTCATCTGAAACAAAAGAGAAAAAAACCAATCTTCAATTTATATACGCGCGATAAAGTATAAATTAATATCAATAGTTAAAATTAATAGTTGGACAGAAACTGAAAGAAAGGGAGATAAATCGCGTTGCGACGCTCCAACGTTCCGTATTTTTCATCGTTTTCAACGGTACGATGTCATACCGTCGTACCGTTAAAAAAAAAAAAAAGAGAGAAAAGAAAAGAAAAGAGAAGAAGAAAAAAAAAATTGAGGCAAAATGTTAACACATCGTTAACACATGGCGATATTCAAACGAAGGAACGGTATTAAATTTAAGGGAACCGTTTATCTCGAAAGATTAATATAATAACCGGTGATAATGTAACAACTCGAAGGCGTTAGCAGCGAAAGATATTTTCGAGGGTTCGCCGAGTAAGATGGCGCGAGGCGAGTCGAATAAGATTGAGCATATTCCTGAGCCGATTCCACGGATCATCAATTTAACCGAGAGCAGAGGGGTCGGCATATCTTCGGGCTCAGCAAGGGGCTGATTATAATATTACCGCAAATTACCGGTAAAATCTGCGACGAATTCGCAACGATTCGTGACTCGACGATACCTCGAGTCGAGTCGAGTCGAGTCGAGTCACGGGTGTAACCTCGAACCCTCTCTTCGTCCCCTCTCTTCGCTTCGTCCCTCGATTCCATTTCCCTTTTCCTCGCCAACCGTAGATAGATAAGTACCGACCACTTTAGACCCACTTTCGTACCTCTTTACCTCGGCTTACATCCGAGGAATCAAGTGGCCATCCAAGATCAGTTGCGATAAGTTGTTCGACCTTGGCGAGTTTCTTCAAAGGATCGTTCGCAGAAACGCGAACGTGATTTATACGCAAAACCGAGGAGGCCTCCTCCAATATCTTACTCGAGCGATATCTTTCGGCGTAAGAAAGAAAATTGTATCCTCGTAACGAAAAAGAAAAGAAAAGAAGTTGGCGCGCAAAAAGGGCGAAAAATGGATTTGATTTAGAGACACGAGAGCGAAAAATAGATACGCGTTCGATACGAAAATGATTGAATCGTTGCGTGGAACGAGGAAAGTAGGATAGTTGTTCTACACTATCGCCATCGCAAGGGTCATCTCGTTTACGAAGAAACGTGGAAGGTAAGAATATTCTCGGAACACGCGTCGAGATCTAATGCGAATCTAGAGCGTGTGTATACTCTTGCTCCACCAATCTTGGCGAACGACTCGACGTCGAGAGAGATCACGACCAGAGACAATACGACGCGTATTTGACGAGCGCTGCTCATCGATTTTCGCGAATAAAGTGTACAGATGATTAATTAAACATCCTTGAGATTTTCTTCGAAGATTCGAAATATTTATATTCGATTCGTATATTTGTTCGAAATGGATTATATTTGTTCGATGGAAAAGGATGGTTATAAAAAAAAAAAGAAGGAAAAGAAAGCGGAAGATAGTAGGAGTATTACGCGTATCCCATGTAAACGTAACGGTCGGTTTTCGGACTACTAGAGTAGTCGAGAAGCACGACCCGAAGCGACGTGGTTAATGCGGCTATATGATATACAAGCGAGAGGCACGTCGGCTCAAATAGCCTCTGGTAGCGAGGAGCGTGGGTTCCCCCCTTTCGTGTTCCCGCATCTTCTAGTAACGGCGTAAACCCCTCCGAAAATATATGTAAGAGGCGGCGAAAGAGAGGGGGGGAGGGACTTTAACGTTCAGTCGCGCTTCCACATAAATATGAAAATATCGGCGATACGCGGAGAGAGCGCGACTCGCTTTTCGGCCACTCGATTACTGCCGTCTTAAATCAATCGAACGATCGAACGATTCGAGCGTATCGCTCACCCCACGAACGTGTATTCGCATAATAAATGCATATAAATGCGCACTTATACGTATAAGTGATTAGTGGAGGATGGACGGGAAACGATTAACGACATCTTACGTTCCACGGTCGATAAATCATCGGCCACTGTAAATGGACTCGGCTCACTTATCTCTCACCTCGCGTACCTTCGTCAAGTGCCGCTACCACGGAAATTATAATAAGATATAATATACCCTCGCGATTACGCACTTTGCAATATTGCGATATACACCTAACCGTTGATTATTGTATAGACTGAAAATATAACGGAAAATAGGAATCGAGAAACACGTGGTCGAATCGCTGATGCAACGTCCTATGTTTTACAACAATAGTAACTCACATAGTAGACGTAAAACCCACTAGATGGAACTGTTTGTTGTACTCAGTGCGAGAAACGATATTGCGAAAAATTATGAAATCCCTATAATATCGAAACAGTTGTAAAGTTGAGATAAAAATTTTACGAATTGCACGCTGTTTTGTACGATCTTTCCAACAGTAGTTTTTTAACGGATATCCTTTGAAAGGATTGATTCATCTCTGATGAAGCGAATACAATTCGTAAGAATAGACGCGCATGTTGATTAAACGTCTCGCGTTTAAAATAACGTAAGAAGATGCGAAAATGGCGAGCAAGAAGAAGCGTAGTTTCTGTTGCCTGATACGAGGCATACCAGAGAACACTGAAAGAGGTGTCGCGCGTTGTCATCGATTACGTTCTTCGTCGCGATCATAAAAGAAATAGAAACGAAACGAGGGGGGAAAAAGAATGAAAAGGAGGCGAGGAGAACGCGAGGCGAGTGAAAAAAAAAAAAAAAGAGAATTGCCGAAGGAAAATTTTCGCTCTACCGGTTGATAAACGGTGACAGATAATTAACAATGGCCTGGTATACGTGGCTGTGCGTGGGCGATCTTTCGCTTCTCAATTCTGTCCAGATTCGTGGCTTGATCATCGCCTCCCTCGAGAGAATCGTTTTCTTTTCTTCGAAACCACAGAAACTAAATTGTATTTTACGTTTAAAATAATCGTATCGAGATTCGATAAGATAATTCTCACGGAATAAGCTTGCGATAGAATTTTTTATTTTTATTTCCGTTGGAAAACAGAAAAATGTATTCATTTTCGTTCGCTTGATAATTATTTTATCGAATAAGAGAGAGTAATTTAATATTCTAGAAAAACCGTTTTTAAAATTTCCAAACACGCGTAAACAAAGGATATCTATATCTAAAGTTACTCTAAATGGAAAATTCAAAATTTTTCACCGCTTGCCATTATTCGAAACGATATGTCTCGATCGAATTCGTTCATTTGCTACGTAGAATATTGGAATAATAGAGAAGATTGATGATATTACGAGTAGTAGGATTATACAGACCCAGTATGATGTAATGCAGACTCACCTTCGCCACAAGCTGACGTAAAATCATCCATCGTTTTAAAGAATCTGAAAGGAAAGAGAACGAATATATTTACCTTTGGAAAATAAAAAAAAAAATAACGTATGTTCTGATAAAAAAAGATTCTCATTTTTTTCTCTCTTCAACGAACTATTTATATAACTATAAATTTACAAACACGGATCTTTCTATAATTTTCTACTTATTGCGATTTTAATCAATGTTATTTGCAATCAAAAAGATTAGATTTATAATTTACCCTTGAACATGAGTTGCATTACGTCAATTTCCTATTTTATACATACGTATATTAATATTTATAAACAAGTTATATACAAAAATCATATCCTTCTCTATAAAATTTACATAAAATAATAAATTAATTATGGATTATTTTAAACGAACGTACTTGAACAACAATTTATATCGTGAGATACGTTTTGATTGTATCGATGAAAATAAAAAAAAAAAAAAAAAAAAAAAAAAAAAAAAAAAAGAAAAAAAGAAAAAAAGAAAAACACGCGAATCATTGTCCCCGCAATTTTGATTGATTTACTTCTCGTAAATTGTAACGTAGCATGATAAGGGGAAAATTTCATACGAGTCTGCGCATGTTTCTCGTGCATAGAGTAATAAAAAGACGGAGAAGGGGGCAAAGCGAGCGGCGTCCTTCCCTTTACTTTCATGCTGTTGATAATTTTTCAGGATAACCGAAGATAGCGATCGAATTTCCATGGACTCGATAAAAAAAAAAAATAATCAGCTAAATAAATATTCAGATATGGTAACCGGTCTCGAGAAATGACAGTGTAATAACTGCGTAATAGGCATGCAGGGACTCTGTAGCAAACGAAGGAATATGGTAATGAAGCTTAAGAACGTGAATGTTACACAGCCTGAATTGCGGCAAATATACCTACCTAAGAGTGACAATTCGCGTGTCGAGAAAACATCGATGGAAATGGAAAAATATCTATTTACGCGTACGTTATTATCATCGAAATTCAATTCACCACCAGCGAAATAAATATCCCCCTTAATCGAATTTCATCGTAATCGTATATAAACGTTTCGTATGAAAATTTTATTTTATTAACGATAACGTTTAAATAACGTAATCGTTTACGAACGAAGAGGATAGAAAATATACGAAGAATACGAGAAGAGATGAGAAAAACTCGGTAAAGCTTGGCAGATTCGAAAATGGGATACCAGTGGTGATAATTGATTGGGCGGAGTCGGGCATCCCTTCTTCTTCTTCTTCTTCTTCTTCTCCGTTCAAAAGCAGAAGAGAAAAAAAGAAGAAGAAGAAGAAGAAGAAAAAGAAGACAGAAGGAAAAAGGGAGGTCTTATTAACGGATTATGCCTACTTGGACTAGTCGATAAATTATCGCAAGGTGTTCATTCCCCTTTTGCATTCCGTCGAGATTCCAGAAACATTCCAAACGCGCCAAACAAGTTGGGAGAGAGAGAGCTCGGTTTTGCTTCTGCTCCCTCCACTCTGATATTAATACCACTTTAATTCCTCATCTCGCTATTACGCACGCTTGCATTTCAGTTACGACGTTTATGTTGAAACGTTTGCTTCTTCGATTAAATGGTATCTTAAATTGGCTTTACTCGTTCGTAATATTGCTGGATAAATCGTATAAAACGACGTTAACGGTGAAAGTATTTGCCATTAAAATTATCCGTATGAAACATCTACGCGGCTGCTTAATTTTATACACGCGTTTAGCATAAATAAAGATAATTCTTCGATCTCTCCGCTCGCAAATAGAAATTTTAAACGAAAGAGCAAAAAAACGCTGTTCGAAACCTTATTTCATCTTACAACCATTCGATCTAACTTTTATTAATAGATTCACCAACAAAAGGAACGAAAACTGTTCCGATAAGCGTGAAATCGTTTCGATTTCTCCTCTCAAATACGTTTAAGATGAGCTCGGTTCCACGAAAAGTTATTACTCGTCATTGTGTGAGAATAGGGTAGCCCAATAGTGTTGCTCTATAGAGATTTAATAGGGCCGTTTTAGCGGCTCTGCTCCCTTTCACCTTCTTCGACCCAGACTCCCTATATAACCACCGATCAGACTAACGCGATTACGAATAGTAACTTCACCGTTAATACCAATCGCTTTACACCATTTCCTCCATATCGATAGATTACGAAGTATAATTTCGTCTTATCGCGTATGTACGCTCGTTACGAAATATTTATTTATTTTTTTTGTAAAAGGCAAGCGCAAGCGAACGAATAAAGAATAATAATTAACGAGAAATATAATTCGATATAGCTTCTTTTTGTCTACGTCACGTTGACTATTGATTTTAAATTCTACGTAATCGCATCCGTTATATTTCTCGTATCGAATCAAAAGATGTTTCTTAAGATTGTAATAACGTACAATTTTTAAGAAAAATTATAAATACCTATCTTGCGTATCATTTTGAAGATTTATTTATCAGAAAAGAATATGCCTTCTGAGAATAAAATATGGAAAAATGGTTGACGAAGAAGAAGACGCCCGCGCGGCGCGGCGCGGCGCGGCGTCGATGGTATGTGAAAAATGTACGTGTGACGAGCGTTAAATTAATTTGACTTGGAATTTGAATTACAAATTCGACATGGATGTGGAGAGATGTCCGCGGACAAGGCGTTTCGCACTCGCTTCGAATTTATGGATTCGTTCTAAGAATCGAACCATCGAAATCGATCATCGTTGTTCAACCCATTTCTGTTTTTTCACGTTTGTCGAAAAAAATGTCAAATTGGAAAGTTTAAAATAAAGAACACGCAAAAAGAAGAAGAAAACACGGTTCGGTCGAAAACAAAATAAAATACTTATATTATATATAGCGCGATAAATTTTTCCAAAGGAATTTTTGCTTTTATTTCGTGTATACGTTTTGGAATTTGAAAGAATATGTACACGTATTTTTTCTCATTCGTATAAAGAAGCCTTTGCACGATAAACTCGAACACCGAAAGCATCGAAAAGAAGGTGGCGACCACCGATATTCCTGATATTCGGTCTGCATAAAATCGGCAAAACTTCAGAGATATTACGCATCGCGGAGGTGAACCGTAATAAGAAGATGCTCGTGAAACTGCGGAAAAGACATTTATGGTAGCGCGATCGAGCAAAAGGGAAGATGATTCGAATATGACTCGGTGTGCGGTCTTATGCGCGCGTGTATATCGTGCACGCATAAAAATAAATCTAAAATCGCGCGTTAAATCACTTTTGTCACCTATGAATTATATACATATTATATATACACGTACACACGTATAAAAATATATTTTCCTATAAAATGAATTAACGTATGAATGAAAAAAATTCACTCGTAATTGTAATAAAATGAAATTGTCTCGAGATAATTTGTCGAAAAATTATTGCAAAATAGTTGGTAATGTAAAATTAACCAATCAAATTCGTTTATTACGAACGTTTTAAACGGAAAAAAATGAATAGATACGATATTCGAAGAGATCGGTAAAATGGGTTGACATTAAAAATCGATTTCATTGGTGCGAATAAAAGAATTATTAAATTTGAAAATGAGCTAAAGTGAACTAGGCGGCTGGTGAAAAAAAAATGTGATAGTTAAAAGTGACATTATACTTGTCAAAATGTGAATGTTTTAAATTATCTTATATAAAATAATTATATTTTGATGATAAATTCAAAATTAAATGTCTTAGATTTATAATCCACTGCACAGTCTATTAGACCATGTGTAATTGTCATCATCATAAAAGAGGATGCCCGGAATCTGAATCTGATCCGTACGTAACCTAAACGTATTCATTAAACGTAAATATAAATACATAGATATCTATACAAATATAACACGTAATAATTACACGTATAAAAATGAAACGATTGAAATTAAAATTCTCTATGCAATTTTTAATTTTTAACGCGATACTACATCTCGCGTTCGTTCCACGGGTTATATATTTTGGTTATTTTCCTCGAAAAATAATATATCAACCCGTTCATATATAATTAAGAAAAATAAAAACGGGAAAAATAAAATAAATGGATGAAATGAAAACGAACATACCGAATTGAATGCAGTTGTGCGGAAAATTAATTACATTGAATTACATTAGAGAAAATAGGATTTATAATAAGCGAGTAAATAAATAAATAAATAAAAAGATATTTATTTAATTTTCTATATGATCTGTACATGGACGAAGATCATCAATCTTGCAAGAAACATGGCAAACACCCTTGGACGAAAGCATTCAATCCTCTGGTGAATTTTGCTCGCCTCATTGTTTCCACAATTCAAACCCCCGAACTCCAAGAACCCCTCCAAGAACACCTCCAAGAACACCTCTAAGAACACCGCCCAGAACCCCCTTGTCGGATTTAACCCGCGAAATTCCACCAAGCGCGCCGCTCAGAATCCTGAGAGAGCGGCCCGATCTAACAATGGGAGTAGCTATAGCGTCTCATCGTTTGGATTGTAAGTTCGACTTACGATTCATTTATTCAACACGAGCATCGATAACAGGGACGATTACTATTGTTCCGTAGTCGAGACGATAAGCGAATACGAGGATATGGACGAGACAGAAATAGACGAATCGGACATATCCGGCAAGTTTCTCTTCTCCTCTCTCTTCTCTTTATAAAAATTATCGCAAGAATTTTTTACACCGATATCAATTTCCCCAACTAGGAGAACTTTTAGCGCAGGCTTTTGCACAATACCGAGCAGCTCCGCCAAGGATCCCTACCTCGACCCCCTTACGCCCCCCACCAGTCGCTATCGAAAGAACTTACAGATTGCACCGCGGAAGATCACCGCGATTCCCAACAGTGCCCAGAGCACAAATACCACCTCGAATGACTAGAATGACGCCTTGCGGCAAATGTTTAAGGGTAATCGTTTAAATTAAATTAAATCGATACGTATTAAAAAAAAAAAAAAAAAAAAAGCTAATACTCTCTTCTTCTTCTTCTTCTTCTTCTTCTTTCATTTTCAGATGTGAGAGCGCAACGATGATGAGGTGGAATTCCCGAAACTAAATTTTAATTATACCATCATGAACATGAACATGAACATTTATATATAAAATATATAAAATGCATTATTTTTATAATACCTAACGTCGAAGAGGACTTTTATACTCACGAATCAAATTTTTGCAGCTTTCTCAATATAAAATATCTAAATGAAATAAATCGTAGAGTTAAAAAGAAAAAAAAATAATAATAATAAAAAAAAAGAAATAAAAAAAAATAAAAATTCTCCATGATAAAGATAATGATTTGATTCATAAATGTTCGTAATCGTCCGAATGATAAACATAATATATTTAATGAAAAATGTGTTTTTTCAACAAGTGAAGTGATTGATGTGTAAAAAAATATATTGCAAATATTCTTTACATTGTTGCTTATCACTTATCAAGATTACATTCCTCGATATCGGGAAACGTTGTCAAAATTGATATTTAAAATTTGGTTCAATATTTTAAACGAAACGCGAGACTTATCGTTTACCACACACAGCTGATATATATACATATACATATGCATATATATATATGTATATATATTTTTTACGAAACAGTGATTGCAACACGCGCGATACTAAAAAAAATGAAAAGCGAAGGCAAGGAAGACGGAATTTACGTAATTAAACGATCCATCCGGGTGGTCCGAAGCGTGGCGAGACACGTTTCTCTTCATTTTGCCAATCCTCCCGAGGATGGAGAAAACAAAGAAAGGCAAAGAGAATTTGGAGAAGGACACCCGGCAACGTCTGTTGGTTGGGTCCATGGGTCGAATTAACGGCACCGGAAGTATCAAGCGACACGCACACGTCCGTATTATGCATATGAGAGAACGTAAAACATCTTTTACCACCCACAATCGCTTCCTAAAACGCTTTCTTCTCCATCTCTGTGCCAACACAATCGCGACGTTTCCTTTCTCGTACGACGGACAGGGCGCGTGTCAAAATATTTGAATATCTCGCTTCGTCTCCGAGATCGCGAGATCGCGAGAGATCTTTCGAGAAAGAAACCATTTTGATAATCGATAACGTAAAAAAAGAAAAAAGAGAGAGAATAATTTCGGCCAACGAAATACCAATTGTCCAAATTTTTAGTGGAACTCTAAGAAAACTCTTTCAAGTAAACATATTGTAATTGGGTACAACGAGTTAAAAAAGACGATTTGAATAAAAATTAAATACAATAAAAATCGTACGTTTGGTTTTTTTTTTTCCATCTCTTCGACTAATTTACCTTTCCAACCGAAATTGTTTAATACGGTGAAATGGAAAGTTGATCGCGATTTATCGAAAGTCCGATCTCTTTCCATACGCGGTACTCAAGTATTTCTCCGTATCCGTAGAATATATGAGCATTGTCTCGCAATACAAGGCAGAGAACACGTGTGTTCGATGTCTCGACAAATAAAGACGTCGTTGCCGAAGCGTCAACACCCACGCGTATTGTCGTACGACGCGTGTGCATTGTAGCGGACTTGTCTCGAATCCTCGCGGAACACGATTCGAACGCGTTTAAGGAACCCGAGTCCGCGTGTGTATTGTCAACATGGCAGTGAATACCGTGCAACTCGATATTTGTTAGGTATATCTCGTTACAATAATCAATCTTTGAATTAAATTCTACTAATGTATAGATAAATTAAACCAACCATTGGCCAATTTTAAATAGGTGATCGAAAGGAGACGAACGATATTTCCTTGTTGCTTTCGTTTTAAGTATTGAAAAATAAAAAGATACTATGATAAAAAAAAAATCTTTACGCTCCATTCCATAACTTGAAATCCCTATTCGTAATTCGTTTGGAAAGACGTTTGGAATATCAAGTAACATCTTTATTTGTAATATCTATACAATTTGTTACGATTGTTTAATTCGCGACAATCGAATTGAATATAAAGCATCCTTACGCGGATACAACAATTAAAGTAGAAAGTGGACAGATCTCGATTGAAGAAACGAAGAAGAAGGAGAAGAAAAAAAAAAATTAAGTTTCCAAGAGGCGATCACGTGGGCTATTCGCATTCTTCTTAGCTATTAACGGACGATGAGAATCACCATTTTATCCTCGAATTATACAAATTGAGTCGGACGTTTTGCACGGTTCGAACAAACGATCGAAAAAAAGTTGAAAAACTCCATAGTTCCGGAGTTCGTTCTCTGACCTACTGCGAGAGAAGGAATTTGAGGACGAAGTCGTGGCGATAGCTTACGACGTTACGGTTAGTTACACGATTTCAAGTTTCTTTTTTTTTCTTTTTTTCTTTTTTTCTTTTTTTACATATAAATGTGTTTTAAAATTTGTGCGAAATTTCTTAAATATCCTTGGCATCATTTTTAAAAAACGATTAATAATCCTTGCAATTTTATTAATAAAAAATCGTATAATACGTACAAAGAGACATCGTTAATTTACATAAATAAGTAACCAAACACGTATAAGATGTACACTCGAAGAAAAATTTGAAAACACTTACCTGTTTACTACATCCATGGAGGGAACTTCCCGCCCACGAACCATAATTTTTTCATATTTAACACCAGAATTTATGAATTCCTGTAACAAAATAATATTGGAAAGTAGTTAATTGTTTTTTCTTGAAACGAAACTAGAGGGTTCCAAAAAGAATGAAGGGTTCCACTAAGGATACCAATTATGTATAATACGCTCTAATTAGGCGAGGGAGACACCGAAAGATCTTCGTGTTAATTACATATATACCCTGCGGCACCATTGATCTTCAAAACCGTTCTAGTATTTCTCAAATATTTCCTATCCGAGATCTTAGTTAGTCCTCTTCGCGTAGCAAATTGCTGTGACATGGAGGGGACAAAGAGAGAAAAAAAAAAAAAAAAAAAAAGATAAAGAATAAAATAGAATAAAATCTTCGACTTATCGATATAAATTGATCGGTCTTGAATCCTTCGGTACATAAGACGTCGAAGATCACCAAGATCGAGCAATCAGTTATTCCAAAAATCTAATAAAAAGTTCATTAGTCTTCATCATAGTCGTCCCTTCCTTTTCTTTTCTTTTTTTCCTATGCTATTACAAATTGGACGGACTCGACTAATTTTAAATGCCAAATAAAGTCTAAACCGACACAGACGTAATATAGGGCTTTCGTGAAAGAGAAGGGAAACGAACGAACGAGAGAAAGAGAGAGAGAGAGAGATGATAGATTAAGAAAGATACGCGAGGATCGTGTAAAGGAGCCACGTTCTCGAATATCTGCTCGATCAAGGAATGCAGTTAGGGATCGTTCGCGAGCAAGCAAGCAAGCAAAAAGAAGATGAGATATCTCTCGACTTTTTTCCATTCTTTTTTCTTTTTTGTAACTTTGCAAATATCTGGACTTATCTTACCTTTTCGTCATAGTAGCGACTCGTGTTTGTCAAATCGATAATACACTTTAAACGTGGAAACGCTTGAAGCAGTACCGAAGTTGTAAACCTGTAACGATACGCGAAATCGAATTAGAAGGTGACGAGCGTGGAAACGCGATGATAATTTCGAATTTATCGGTCACTCGTAATAAATACTCGATTCGTATCGCGGAAAGACGACTTCATTTGTAAAGAAGGGAGGAAGGGGAGGGAGAGAATATAACGAATCCGCCGACTGTCGCGTTGCTCCGTGTTAGCGAAGAATCTTTTTTTCAAAGCCGCGACCTGGACGACTCGATGATATATTAGGGGAAAAAAGAATCTGGGGTCCGAGGCAAAAGGGGCCCGGAATTAAACGGGGGTGTCGGCCCAAATAGTTTTACCATTCCTTTCGATATATCAAATTCTCGAAAGGCTCGCACCAGATGTTCCCTCGGGACGATAGTACGAACGAGTTTATTTCTCATAAATAAACAACTATCTCGAAGTTCTCCCTAGTTTCGAAAAAAAGAAAGAAAAAGGGAACGTTAAAAAAATCGATTTAAAAGCCATTAACGAACACCTCGCGTGCTTCGACAGATTTATATATATCGCGACCAAGATGAAACAGAGTGACCGTATAAATTCGAACTTCTCGAACTTCGTGATGTTTTTCGTAAATAAAATCGTTAATGAAATCCATGAGCCAATATAATCGCTAATCTACTTACCGTTTCTCCGGTTCTAAATTGTTACTCACTGCCTGAAACAAAAAAAGAAAAAGGACAGATTCGATGAATTATCCGGAAAAAAAAAAGCGTACGTGACGTAATTAATAGTGACACAGAGAATTATATCTTTATGCCCGAAGCGAATATATTCGGATATACCGGTATCACACGCGTACGAATATTCGATAACCCGTTATAATAACCCGTATCCTATATATTTTATCCTATACGATAAGATAAAATGCGAGTCACTTTCCATCTTTTAATAATTAATAAAATTCAAAACCGAAACGAATAAGAGAATATTTACTTACTCCAACTTATTATCTTTCGCGAAGTGCATTTAACTTTCGTTGCGATCGATTATCCGATATCTCACGAATATCAGAAATAATCGTAAAAGAAACTTACACGTTCCTCGAACGATGAGTTCAGAAACAACAATATATTTAATTTATAGATTAAACCATATATGTACATATATACACACATCTATTTTCTTATTTCATTTTTCTTATTTCGTTTATATAATTGAGTTAATTGATAATACAAATATATATTTTTCTTTGATCTAACCGACGTATCTGATAGGAAACTTTTATCGAAGAAAGACGCGTTTTATTCGACGTAGTTCGAACAGCGTATACCTAAGAATACGTAAATTGAAAGTTTGATCGGCCCGCTCGTAGCATCGCACTCGCTCTATGGGTGGGCTAATGGTAATTACGGGTTTAGACTACGCGATCCGATTGACTGGGCGGGGAGATGGTATCTACGGATGAGTGCGGAATGAGTATCGGTCTTATTAATAACGGGCTTGTGGTATAACTTTCCTATCCAACCATAATAATCTATCGTTGACTAGGTGTGGGACTTTCTTATATCTTAATGGTAGCGCCGTTCCAATTACTCCACTCAGCCTCGCTTATCGACATACGATCCCATCGCAGATTGACAACTGTGCAAATAACTATACGTATATATATATATATTCGTTTACTCGTAAATTGTTTTTAATTTATACTACACCGTTCATCGAGAACCGAGATCCAATATATACTCTCGTATATTCAATTTCACCGAAAATAATTACGACGTTATCTAGTAGGATAAGAGAAAAAAAAGAGGAGGAATTTGGAATTCGAAATGAAATTGATCGCGAAAAGAGCAGTGAAAATAGGAAGAAGGAACGAATGAATGGAAGAGGCGAATGGAAGAAAGCAGGAATCGAAGCTGTGGGTTGCTGCCCACCTGTAAAATTTACTAACCCTGGCTACGTCAACGGTAGTTTATTTTTCGCACGGTATAGCCGAGCTTCCTCCAGTCGAAAGCAGGATCGGTCTTCTCCGCTGATTCCACCATTCAATTTCACGATCCTTAGCCTAATATACGACCGCGACTAAATCAGGATTATCGAGCTACGAGCTGTACCTCCATTGTGAACCTTCGTGGCGGTCCGTCCGTCCGTCCCGCTCGTGTAAAATCTTTTCGCGAGCGCATCGTCCCAGTTTTCCTACTTTCCCCCCCTTTTCCTTTAATTTGTCGATATACATTCCACTTCGTCGCGATAAAATCGACGAACAGCGATTATTTTTCCATTTCGACTAGATGATGAAAAAGGTGATCGTCGTTTCGGATAAATTGAACGAGCGCGACAAGAAGCGTTTTCGAAAGGAAAACCACGTGGGCGTAGAAGCATGCGCTTTCATGCCTTCGACTCGAGTCGTAAGTAGGCTGCATTTCCAAACTTCTCCCTCCCCTCTTATTCAAAATCGACAATTTCACCAAAAGATTTGGTGAAACCACGGAATTAACCACGGAGGATACCGATGTAACGTCATCGGTTTATTTATACCTTTGGTACGGATAGAAATAATATCTTCAAACGATATTACAAACGACCTCGTAAAAAAGCAGAACGTTAACGTTGTATTTACGCGTTACTAGGTTACCATCACTTTTTCTGGATCGTAAAGTTTTCCAGTACTCGTCAAGCGTGATTAACGACTACTTTAGATTTATATTCCCATTCCACGTAAATGTTATTCGTAATTTATTTAACGTATCTATTAAACCGAATAAATCAAATATAATCATATTAATCAAATTGAAGAAGAAGAAAATAGTGGAGCACAGTCGAGTAAAATAAATCGAAGAAAATTTCCATCTTTAATTTTAAAAAGTTTGTATTCGAAGAATCGATAAGAATCGGCCGATGTTGTAAAAGTATCTCGATCGGGAAACATTAAATCGGATCGAATGAAACGATGCTCCTTTTTGCGGAAAACGGTTTCAGACGATTCTCCGTTAAATTCTCTTATGGACAAGGAGCAAACTCCTCGAGAGGAGAGGGAGAGCGCATGGAGGAGAACATTTTCGTTGCACGAGTGCGGCCAACGGTTATACTCCCGCTGTATAGAATCATAGAGAAACGCCATATAGACTGGTATATGGCTGCCGCCAACTGATATATGCTCGACGTTATCTGTATCCACTTACTTCCTCGTTTGGCAGAAGATTCGAGGCGATTTAAAATGGGTCACCTTAACTGGGGAGAGGAGACATGTACAACAAAGGAACGTGTCGGAAGTAGCAGTTGCTATCAAATTCTTGAATCATTTCCACCGATTATAACGTCTTTCGTATTCATTCGAAATGAACGGTTTTAACGCTTCGTGGTTCCAGGAGGAACCCAAAGATGGTTTCAAAAATGGTTAAAGGGGATCGATAAAGATCAAAGATTAACGCGATATACATACGTATGAATTACGCGTACAAGATTGTTATCGGTATAGGCGATATCAAATTGCTCGCTATCTATACGCAGAGAAACATAATTAGTAATAAAATCACGAGTGGAATATATCGGGATTCGGCATAAATCAAAACGATACCGTATCGAAAGCAACGATTTTAATAAAATTTCTATGAAAAGCATAAACGTTACCGCGTGGTTCGGTTTAGCATAAATCAAAACGATCCATCCAAGTCGGATAAAAAATGAAAGGTGGGATCATTAATCTTTCCTATCGTTTGCACAGTAGGTATAATTTTTCGGAAATGGAACGACTTTACGAGGGCCTGTTGAAAATTGATTCACCACCACCCGTGTTGCCTGCCTAATTCTCAAACCGTGTTATTCGCGTATACGATCAAATTTAAAATATAGCATACGCTTTTTTCAAGTATCGGCGTTCGAATATTCACATATTTTATAACGTTTTTTGGAAAGTTGTGAGAGACGTTTCTCCGTCGGCGAGATTAAAAAAAAAAGAAAGAAAAAGAAAAGGAAAAAAAAAATAGAAAAGTTCTTTCGAATTCTACGATCGTGGCCGAGCAATAATGGTATCGGTAGCTGTGGGAGATCTTTAAAAAAGGACTTTCCGTATTGTTCTCCGATCTTTCCTCCGTTCCTTTCGATAGATCCCGCCTCGATGATAAGCTGACAATTAAAATATACTACGTGGCGTATCTTATGGAAAATCGTTGAAATATGAAAATAAGCAGTCCAGAATGGAGTATCTTTCGAAAAGAATTTTCCAAAGGAAAAAAAAAGAATGTCCCGTCGTAGCTCTTTTGAAATTTAATATATATCGCGCGGTTATTTTTATTAGATTTCCATCGTAAAGGAAAGATAGGACGAGCGTTTAAGGAGATTAATAACAGGCCTTGTAAATCCCGATACGGTATACTACTTTCGCTATTCCGTGTTACGTGGGTAACGAATTAGTATCGACTCTCGAGGCGGAGTTTTATAGACATGGCATTAGACATCGTGCGTCCCCTCTATCACCAGGCATCGTGAAAGCTCGCGGCACAAGAACGTGTTTCTGGTTGGACATAAATAATAGGACCACGTCGGCAATCGCTATAATTCAATTCACACCTGATAACTGCGACCGTAGAATTTCCATATTACAGGCTGTAATAAAATTAAAAATATTTTCGGGGCGGTCCATACGCTTCGGGGGGTCTCTTCCCTTCTCCTCTCCCTCCCCCCGACAAACTAGCCAAGGTTCGCGATCCTTCACGTTCGCCGTCTTACGAATTTGTTCCTCGAATTTGTTTCCGTTTGTGTCTCACCTGCCCTTTCCCTCCACTAAACACGCTCGCACATACCTACGACGAATGGCAAGCGACCGACAAACTTAAACTCGTGCTCGAAGATTATCGTTTCATTCTTTCTTTCTCTCTTTCTTTCTTTCTTTCTTTCTTCCTTCCTTCCTTTTTCTCCGATTCCATTTTGTCTCGAACGGCAAAAATATCGAAAACAAAAGGAATGATTCTTTCTTTCGTTTTTTCTTTCGTCGACGAACGAAAGAAAATTTTACGGTACAAGTGTGTAGTAAAGGCGAGAATTATGCCAGTCTTTTCTCCACGAAATACGTTATACAAATTTCCTCGAGTCGACGTTTCGAATTCCGTCCCGCAAATGAATTACGACATTACGAAGAAGAGGAAATTTATTATCGATGGCCAAGCAGCTGACCGAATCATAAATTCAAGAGCGAGCAAAGAATCAATTTCACCGACAACGGGACGAATCCGATAACCTATAATCTATACCCCTAATCCGTATTACACTCACAGGCGTTATTTTCTCGGCCTTGCCTTTCACCGACCATTCTCTCTTCCACCGTTGATTGTTTTAGCTACGGGGGTGAGAATACATTATACATTATTAACGAACAAGCGGCACGACCAAAAACAAGATTAACGACTCGCAGGTATTTACGACCGTGACTTGTCGGGATCGTTTAAACAAATGTTTGTTTCCTGGCCCGACGACTCCGCCTCGTCAGCCTTTTCCTCCCAGCCTTTGTAAAAAGTTTCTCTCCGTCTTAAGTGGCGGCTTTCGCGCTCGTGGCACAGCACCAATCACCTCCCAAATCTACGCCCACTCCTGTCATCCCTTACGCCGCTGCGTCCCATTCCATCGCATTGCCAAGAAGTTCATTTTTGCGGCTGCGACCGCAAATCCATTCCACTCGTTCCGATCGTTCGTCCACCGATCCTACGCCCCGTTAAATTT